ATCTTTCCATTCTGTAGGTCGCTGTTTTGTCATGTTGAACATGTTCTTTATTTTACAGAAGCTTCTCAGTTTCAGGAGGTCCCATTTATTATTTGTTGCTCTCACTATCTGTACTATTAGGGTTTTACTTAGGAAGTGGTCACTTGTGCCCATGTATTCAAGTGTACTTCCCACTTTCTATTCTATGAGGTTCATTCAGTGTGGTTAATGTTATGTAGGTGACAGTTGTATGACTGGGGAAGACTACATTTAGAGCGTCTAATTTGGTTCGATGCTGGTTCCTTTCTTGTTCAGCCAGAGTTGGTGAGCTCCAACAATGCCTTATTTTCAAGCAAAATATAAGACATAGGTATGAAACCTATTGGTAAATTATATATGGATATCATATGAATGGCAAAGACAAGACCTTTGTTATTTAGCTTTCAAAAACTAGAAAATCAATTCATTAAATACAACAAACAAAGAAACATCACAAAAGCAGTAACAAAAATCCAAACTCAAGCCTGAAATCAAATCCATAGGTACTTTAGAAAGTAGAGTTTTGTTTTCTAAGAGTTATCAATAATTTATGTCTGAACTTATAACAAAGGCAGACCACCAAGAAACTCAATGAAGATTCATGATTGATACACAAATGGGTTGATAGATAGATAGATAGATAGATAGATAGATAGATAGATAGATAGATAGTAGATAGATATCTAGATAGATAGATAGATAGATAGATAGATAGATAGATAGATGATGGATGGATGGATAGATAGATAGATGACAATAAGTGATCCTGTTAGCTAGATAAAATACTTAAAGTAGCATACACTTATATGTTATGTGTATAACATATAAGAAGAAATAACTGGAAGAAAACAAAGAAATGTGGACTTTTTTAATGTAGTTTAATTTAGAAGCAAATGGATAGGGCAGACTAAGATTGGGCAAATGAAATATGGACTGTTGTTAATAAACTGAGAACAGTTGTGAAGTGTGTTGTTCCATGTGTTTCTTTGAGTCCTTCACAGATAAATACATGTCTTTTTTCTATATGTGTGGTGAATGTATTTGTATGAGAGTATTTTATACACATTAGGGGAAGATCAAATGATTCTTAAGTAAAGGGGCAAAAGTTATCAGAGAATCCCTTTTGCTACTGGTCTTTTTTAAGCAAATGGATGCCAAAATCAGGTAGTATACCTTAAAATTAATCATTTTTAGATATTTCTATATTGTGTCTTAAACTGACTTCCAGCTAGAGACAGACAAGTGAAAATATTAAAACCTCAAATATTATTGACCAAACAAAGAGATATTATAGACAAGTAAATGACTTGCTTAATATTCTTTCTGAAATGTGGTGGTCTGTGTAGAGGGAAATAGAGAGAAAACTGATAGTCTAAAATGGTCTCTGTGGCCTACAGAATCACATACAAATTAGGGGTTATCAGAGCCCTTATAAAGTGTGGAGACGCAGAAGGGAAGATGCAGAAAAAAATAACAGTATATTCTGATAATGATCACTGTTCAAATATCAGTTAAACTTTCAGAGTGGAACGTATAAAGAGACAGTGTTAATTTAAAAAAATGCAGTTGAAGTTTTACCCATGACTCAAAACATGATTCTAGTTTGAGTCAACTAGTTTAGATGTCATATTAAACAAAATAAATAAGTACATTAATTATAAAACTGTAACAGAATTCCAGATTTTCATGAGTAGCATGCTAATTTCCTGAGTGAAATATAAAATCAGTAGACATGAAGAAAAAGAATAATCTAGAGGAAAACATTTCTTAATATAAAATACTTCCAACTAAGGATACAAATACCAAGTTATTATAATTTTGTTCAATTGTACAAACAAAATTTACTTAGGAGCTTATTTAAGGGACCTAAGCACAGAATTTGGAACTGTAAAATAAAAAAAATGAATGTGTGGGAGAATTGTCTAACTCTTATGCTTATAAGCTTATAGACAAATTTTTTTAAAAAAACTAAAATTATTATTATTTTTTTCACTAATTATGCTCAGGTAAATAATGAGTGCCTTTAGAGCTACTATAAAAGTTGGGGAAAATTATTTACTTGGATTATATTTCTTCATTGTCTTCCATCATTGTAAGAATCTGGGATAAGAACTCAAACAGGGCAGGGCCCTTGGGGAAGGAGATATAGATGCCATGAAGGGGTGCTCCTTACTGGCTTGCTAGCTCTGGCTTGTTCAGTCTGCTTTTTTATAGAATCGCTGACCACCAGCCCAGTGGAAATAACACCCACAATAGGCAGGTTCTCTCCCCCATCAACAGCTAAATAAGAAAATCTTCTACAGGCCTGATTCAATTCTGTTTTTGGAGACAATTTTTTAATTGAGACTGCCTCCACTCTGACAACTCTAGCTTGTGTCAAGTTGACATAAAAATGTTCAGCACAGTGAGCTACAAAGAAGATGGACTGGTTGAAACAGTGATTTAAAAAGAAAAAAAATGAATTCCATTCTAATGTCAGTGAAAAAAAAAAACATCAGTGTCGTCCCTGATCATCTGAACTCAAAGTCCTTAGTCTTTTCAAGTATGTAGCTTAAACCACAGAGATTTAATAAAAACTAACAACATTTTAAAAAGGCAGAGTGATGACAGGATTGCATAAATTTGTGCAGTTAAAACCAAATGCAACTACTTTCCACAATAATGAAATAATTGATATTTCAACATGTTTGCAAATCAAATGAATATATTAAAGAAGAAAATGGAAAATTTTAATTTCTTTTGATATTTGCTGTGAACTAAAGAAACAAAAAATCCAATAAAAAGAGACATTAAGAATTGTTTTTTGGGCTGGAGAGATGGCTCAGTGGTTAAGAGGATTACCTACTCTTCCAAAGGTCCTGAGTTCAATTCCAAGCAACCATATGGTGACTCACAACCATCTATAATGAGGTCTGGTACCTGCAGGCATACATGCAAGCAGAACATCGTATATGTAAAAAAGAAAGAAAGAAAGAAAGAAAGAAAGAAAGAAAGAAAGAAAGAAAGAGAGAAAGAGAGAAAGAGAGAGAGAGAAAGAGGGAGGGAGGGAGGGAGGGAGGAAGGAAGAATTGGATTTTCCAAATGAATAAATCTCAACAGATATAAGAAAATGGAAACAACTCCCTGCATCCTATCAGACTACCAGGGGTTAAAACTGAATATCAACAGCAGAATGCTTACAGACTCCTTAAATATGAATAACTGCATATCTACTGGGTCAGGACAGAAATAAAGAAATTCAGAATTTTCTAGAATTTAATAAAAATATCAACGTAATCTAATTATGGAACACAATGAAAGTATTTTTAAGAACAAGTTCATAGCATTGTGCCTACATTAAAAAGTTAGAAAAATAGTATATTTGTAACTTAACATCAGCTTAACTTAAGATCAGATCAAAAAGAAACCACCAAGTGAAAAAGGAGTAGAGAGCAAGAAATAATCAAATACAGTGCTGAAATCAATAAAAATAGAAACAAAGAGAACAATGAAAAGAATCAATGAATCACAGAGTTAGTTCTTTGTGAATGTCAACAAGGTCAACAAATCCTTATCTAAACTAAATAAAAGGTAGCAGGAAAATATCCATTTTAACAAAATCAGAAAACAAAATGTGGACATAATAACAAGAACTGAGAAAATCAAGGGAATTATTAGTATATACTTTAAAAAAAATCTATATTCCATCAAGTAACTTTAAAAACCTATATTCTACCAAGTAGAAAATCTAAAAAAAAGATAACTTTTAATAGGTACCACTTACCAAAGTTAAACCAAGATAAGATGAATAATTTTAACACATTTTTCCCAACCAAATAAATCCCAGGAAGAGATGGTTTTCTCTAAGAAATCTACCAGAATTTCAAAAAGGATTTAATGCCAATACTCCTCAAATTATTCCACAAAAGAGAAACAGGAGAACACAATCAAACTCATTTTATGTTACCCAAACCACATAAATACCCAAGAAAGAAAGAGAATTATAGAGCAATTTTCTTATGAATTTAAATGCAAACAACTCGACAAAATATTTGCAATCCAAATCTAGGCACACATTAAGAAAATCATTCACCATGATCAAGCAGAATGCATCTCAGAGAAGCAGGGATGGTTAAGTATATGAAAATCAGTAACTGTAATCTACTACATAAACAAAGTGAAAGAAAAAAAATGATCATCTCACTAGATGCAGAAAGGGACTTTTACAAAATCCAACACCACTTTATGATAAAAGTAGTCAAAGCTCGAGGTGACTGAAGCCATCCACAGGCCTGTCTGGCAATTTGCAGTGCCAGCAGACAGGTGTCATCATGATGAGCAAATGGATGGTGGAGAAATAGGAGAGAAAGAGGAGCCAACAGGTTCATGTGCTATGAAAATAGCTGGAAATGAAGAAGCAAAATTGGTGAGGAGCAGTCTTATTAATGTCCATCTTGCCACCAGGGACCAAGATGAAGTTCCTCTTAGGCAACTACCAAGGCTTATGTATGAGTCATTGGTATTTTTCAAGCAGTGGTCTGTATTGACATCTGTGGCTCATGTTGACACCAAAGGATGTGAAGATACCCAGGGACTGGGATGCTACATGAGGTCAGGTTGGTTTCTCAGAGGCATGAGGCATCCAGGGTTATACAGATATCAAGAACCTGCCCTGCCTCCCAGGACCATAGTGATATCCAGGCTTGAAATGCTGCTAAGTCCATGTCTGGATCTGAGGCCCTAAAGCAGCAAGGATCTGTGTTGATATCCATGGCTCCTGCTAACACCAAGGGTCACGAGGATACCTGGGATCTGATCAACCACTTAAAACTATGTGATGTTCAAGAGATATGCTGCTACCTGGGCCAAACTGATCTAGGTGGCTGGTGCTGACACTAGAGTCATTGTGATGTCAGACCCAAGTTACTGTCAAAAGCACCACGCCCGTGTCTGTGACTTGCTGCTATTGGAGTTTGTGTCGATCTCCATAATCACCACAACGGTTCATGAATATTAAAATTTGAAGGTTGTGCTGAGTCCACACCTCTGTTTGCTCATTGCTGGCCACTGCAGCTAAAGAACTGGCCCCACACTTGGTCGAGATGCTCCACCCTTTACCTTTGGGCATGGGATAGCTAATTCAAATGGCATGAACATAGAAGAACTAGCTTCACCCCTCTCTTGAGGAGTGTAATCCCAGCAACCTGGCCTGATCAGAGCGACTACCACTCAGACCCACATCAAAAGCTTTGAGTGGATACACCCCAACATCTACCGCATCTATGGACTGCAGGAGCACATGAAATGAATCATAAACACAGGATCTCCATGAGTAGGGACAACATCAGCAAATCCAAGAGGAGCCCTGGTGAGGATCCAGTGTTGATGATTGTATACCAAAAGACAGAGGACTTGAACCTAAGAAACAACACATTACACAATGAACATTTGTAAGTAAAGCTGAACAGACAAATGGGTAGAACGCACTGTAGGGTAAATATAACACTAAGACAGATGAAGAGGTGTTGGAGAGGCAAGAAAGATGGAGGAATAAAGTAGTTCTCTTTGCTTTGCTTTGCTAGTTTTAAAATCTGATAGTTTTAATTTTGGGGGGTTATGCTATGTGGGTGAGGGACTAATATAGAAGAAATGAGAAATGAGTGGAATTGGAGGTCATAATGAGAAAATCCCAAGGAATGAATAAAAAAGTATGTTAAGTTTTGAAATGCAGAAGACTTAGCAAACACAGTAGAGATAGTCTGCAGCAAATGCATCGTTAATACCAGTTTCAATGGAGAGACATGCAAACCAATTTCACTAAAATCAGGAAGAAGACATGATTGCCATTCTTTCTGAACCTATTCAATACAGAACATGAAGACTTAGCTAGAGCAATAAGCGTATAAATGCTGCGGGAGTATCTTCCGCTGCTTCAGTCAATAGTAGCTGAAGCACGAGCCCACGGTGCTGTGGGAGCATCTTCCGCTCCATCAGCCAATAGCCACTGAAATACCAGCCCACTGGGGCGTGGTATATTTCTCTTTTAAAAAGAGCCACAGAGCTTGCTCGGGCCTCTTGGTTCCGGCACTTGGTCCCCGCGCTTGGTCCCGGCTCCTGTTCCCGGCTCCTGCTCCAGCGACTAGGCTCCCTTCCTGACGGTTTATGGTGTATGTAAGTTTTACCCCCCAAAATAAATAACCCCTTAAAACATAACTGGTGTGGGATTGATTTGCCGTTATATAAAGGAGTTCACGGGTATACATATTGAAAAGGAAGAAGTCAAAGAATCTTTATTTTCAGATAATATGATAGTGTACATAAGTAAACCTAAAAATTTCACTGGGGACTCCTTTAGCTGAAAAAGACATCCAGAAAAGTAGTTGGACACAAAATTAACTCACAAAAGTCAATAGGCCTCTTTTATGCAAATTGCAAAGAGCTGAGAAAGAAACAACACATTTTACAATAGCCTCAAATAACAGAAAATATCTTCTGGTGACTGTAGGCAAGTAAGGAGAAACTTGTAAAATAAAAAAGTTCAATTCTCTAAAGAAATAAAGTGAAGACATAAGAAGCTGGAAAGATCTCCCATGTTCATAAATCTGTAGGATAAATGTAGTAAAATATCATCTTACCAAAAACAACCTACTGATTCTTTGCTATCCCTGTCAACATTAGAACACATTCTCCACAGATTTTGAAAGAACAATGCTCAACTTTATCATATGCAAAGACAAGAAACCCAAGATACCTAAATCAATCCTGAACAATAAAAGAACTGTGGGAGGTCTCCCCATTCCTTATCTCAATTTGTACTATAATGCTGTAATAATACAAACAGCATGATATTGACATAAAGTAGACACTTTGATCAATGGAATTAAATTGAAACTCAAACAAAAACTCAAATACTGAATTTTATGGTCGTGGTCATAGTTTGGGGAATTTTTAGGACAAGGTTTCTCTGTGTAACGGTCTTAGCCATCCTGAAACTAGCTCTTATAGACCAGGCTGGCCTTGAACTCACAGAGATCTGTCTATTTCTGCTTCCTGAGTGTTGGGACTAAAGGTATGCTCCACCACTGCCCAGCCTGAAACCTAAGTTTCAGTAAAGGAGCCAGAAATAAGCGCTGGAAAAAAAAGATAGCATCTTCAACAAATGGTGCTGGTCGGACTTGATGGTTTCAGGTAGAAACATGCAATCATCCTGCACACAATTCTACTCCAGATCGATTAAAGTCCTCAACATAAACCCAGGTACATTGGTATGATAAAAGAGAAGTAGGGAGAAACCTTGAATGCCTTGGCCCAGGCGAAGACTTCCTTTTAGAGTACATCATTAAAGCAGGTACTAACACTAACAATTAATATAATGGACCTCATGAAACCGAAAACCTTCTGATCTGCAAAGCATAGTGTCAATAAGACAAAACAGTAGACTACAGAATTCAAAAAAGATTTTTACTAACTTCATATCCAGTAGAGGGCTACTATCCAGAATGCATAAAGAAGTCAAGAAACTTAACACAAAAAAAAAACAATAAAACTAAAATGTGAAGTAGAGAAATAAACAAGATTCTGAACTGAGAGAACTCAAATGACTGAAATAGGAAAGCAGGGTTCAACTTCCTTAACCATCAAGGAAATGGAAATCAGTACTTTGAGATTCCATCTTATGCTTGTCAGAATTGCTAAGATCCATAACAAAAGGACTGCTCATACTGGTGAGAACGGATAGCTCAGGAAACACTCCTCTATTGCTGGAGTTACTGAAAACTGTACAGTCATTATGGAAATCAGTGTAGCAGTTTCTCCAAAATAGGAAAATGTATGTACCTCAAGATCCAGATATACCACTTAAATGTACCTTGGGCATTTGAGCAAAAGATGCTTCATTTTACCACAGGGATACCATGTTCATTATTGCCCTATTTATAATAGCTAGAAATTGGGATCAATTTGTATGTTCCTCAAAATAAACAAGGAAACAATAAAAAATGAAATTCACAGGCAAATATATGGAACTAGAAAAAAAATCCTGAGGTAACCCCGACCAAGAAACATATGTATGATGTGTATGTTTATATCTGAATATTAGCCAATAAATAACTGATGACTATGCTACAATCAGAAGACCCAGAAAAGTAAGGTATAGAGGAAGGGACCAGCAGTGGGTGTGGGGTGTCTTTTGGGAAGGGGAAAAAGAATAAATTTTATGAGTGGCCTGAAGACTGGCAGGGACAAAATGGGGCGGATCAGATGGGAAGGAGAGGAGATGGGATTGAGGGAAGTAATGATTGAAGAGAAAGCTATAATTGAATGGCATTTGAGGGGAAACTTAGTGCTGTGAAATAGTCCTATAATATAATGAAGCCATTGAATAATGGGAGAGAGAGAACCATACCTGATAATCTCTTGTCACCAATGAAGCATACCATACCTGAACTGTGTTTCTTCCAATTGAGTTGTTTGCAGAAAGGGTCCATTGGAAATTGCCAAACAACTGAAGTTGTTGACAAGACAATAGTATGTTCTTTATAACCTAACAGGAAGGCCCCATTACTGAATACAACACCGACACAGCTAATTGAACATGGACAGTTGGAGCTGGTGCCTAGATAGAAACTTAACCTCAAGCTCTAGTTTCTTTGACACAGAAAGGTATCCTGCAGACTACCCAAATAAAAACAGACACACAGTACATTCAAAACGTTTGGTTTACAATCTGTCATGCATGGAAAATTGGAGGAGTAACCAAACAATATTTGATTTGGCCTAAGGACCACTCCATGATATGGAACTCATACAGTCTACTGCTTGGGTGAGCATGAACCAGAGACCAAGGGTAAAATCAAATACCACTGCTTTAAAACAACAACAGCAACAATTAAATGACTCCTAAGGACACTCTGTTATACTCAAAGCATGGTACCTCATGTAGCCATCCGAAGAGAATCTTCATCCTGCAGCAGATAGGAGCATAACGAGAAACCCATACCAGACATAATGCAGAGAGAGAGAGAAAGAGGGAGAGAGAGAGAGACAGAGAGACAGAGAGAGAGAGAGATTGGTACACCCAGCTCTATATGAATGAGGTCGTCTTCAAATCCCTCCTGTCAGAGCTCAATGGAGGAGTGAGGAAGAGACAGGGAGATGGAGATGCAGAGAACAGGGGATACCAGGAAAGCAGGGCTTGCACCAGTTCCTCTCACATATAATGTAACTTTTAGCTTAGTTCTCTTATGAAACTCCTGAATATGTGAATGAATGGTTCTCTCATGCTTGCGCCTTTTCTTAGGGTTCATAATTTTCCATTGTTTTGTCTTCTCTAACTTTGATAAACTGGTTTTTCGTTTGTTTATTAATCTTATTATATTTTATCATGTTCAGTTGTTATTTCATCTCTTAATAATCTATTATTTTCTAGTGAGAAACAGAAAGGGATTGGATCTGATTGGGAGAGGAGGTGGGGAGGAACTAGGAGAAGTAAAAGGATAGGGAAACGTTATTCAGATTATATTGTACAAAAAAATCTCTGTTTAATTAAAGCAAAGAAAGAAATTAAAAATGATTAACTATTTATTAATACACAGCTCACATCCCTCATTGTATGCTATTTTACTTTGTTTTTCCTCTTCTGTGTCTTCTTTTCTATATGTTCCCTATCACGATAAATAAAGGACAGTTCCAAAGTATTCACGTAGGTAATTTGGAAAATACAACATAAAAAACGGAGTTGAAGTTATAAGTGGAAAAGCTGAATAGCTGGGAATATGCTTTCATTACCTGCTAAGCTGAAATGCTTGCTGCCTTGAGTGGGAAGAGTATTGGCATCCAAAGTTTTAATTACCAATCCTTAAAGTTGTTTGTGCTTGGGAAATAGTTGTTTCTGTACAGCAGTACAATTAATGAGATTTTGAGCTGTGACTAATAAACATTTAATAATGATTATATTAGACTTCATTTTCCTTAGAGTGTTGCCTTGGTGTGTACGATAGAAAACAGGTGCCACATTATTCTGCAGACACCAGAATTTAATAATTTTTACTGAGACTGGCATTATTCATCTTGAATCAAGTCACTTGTATTGCTACTGCTTCAGAAACTTAATTAGAAACTAGGGAGTTTAAAACAAAAATAATATCATAAGGTATACTTCTTGATGAAAAGTTATTTAGATTCATTATGTTGAAATTTGAATATTATACCTTCAGTGATTTGTGATTTAAAATAATTTATTGGAATGGTGAGGACAAATTAAAAAAAATAGAGAGGTCTGTTTTAATGCTTTTCATTTCTTAACACTTTTTTCAAATGTTTGTACTATTAAAATAATTTTAATAGCCATTGTATCTACTGGATTATCAGTAAAATTTTCTATAACTACACACACAGAGAGACACACATATACATGTACACATGCACACAAAGAGAGAGGAGAGAGATATCAAGAGAGAATTAAGTTTTTATTGCTGTTAAATTTTTTTCTATAGCTTTGAATATAGCTTTCTTTCTCTAACGAATGATCTTATCAAAAGGAGAAATGTCTATAACCCTCAAGTTTTGTAGGACTGTTGTGTCCTGGAAACAGGCTTTTGCTTATTGCACACTTTCCATATCCTTCTCAAATCCCATTTCTGCCTTCAGAGAAACAGTGAATTTACTGTCAAAGAAGGAGGAATTTTTGAAGGAAGCCTGTATTTTCATTTGGGAGCATATTTGACTTTTCACTTCCTGTTTATTGTGCTATATCTGCTTCAGACACCTGATCTCCTCACAGTCAATGAGGCTGTGGTGGTGAATACACCAATCTGTGTAAGAGATGTCTCTGGGCCCTCTCCATCCTTGTCTCCCCATCTATTCAAAATGGCATTTTCTGGAACCACACAGTCCCAAATCACAGCCTATTCAGTTTATGCAGGAATTATTGCTTTGCTCAGAAGTCATGCTTTTAAAATATCTTTATAATACAACCTGATATATCCTGTAAATAGTAGTGTGTGAGTTTTGCCATGTAGTTTCTGGTGCTTGCTATTCAATTGCTCTGTTAACACCAGGAACATTTTTGATTCCGTTAATTTCTTGTTGCATAGGTTATTTTTATTAATACTTTCTACCATTTGTTAATACAAGTCTGCTATTAAAGAGCAGTCAAATGTTATGCTCTAATGAATGCTTACCTCACTTGTTGAAAGAATAAATAAAATTTCTGTGGAATCTCTTCCCTATTTACCAACTTTATAATGTTCAGAAAAGTTGAAGAGGTCTGTCAGCAATCAGAAAATCATACATAAAAAGCAGCCATAAGCTTGGTTTCTTCTAACATATGAACTCTAACCTCAACCTAATCTATACAAAAACTCTACTGAGAAATAGCCCCAAAACCAAGATTTCTACCCCACATATTGGGTATTGAAAACACTCTCTGCTCTCACATCTGTACTAGTAGGAAGTGCAAATCTATTTGGATGTAAAGTTTTGAGCTGTTTGGTCTAGAAATGCATTTTTATTGAAAGTTAAAATGAAGTTTTAATTGTAGCTAATATTAAGACTTCAACTTGGGCATGTTCATACGTATGTGATTGCTGTTGCATATGCATACACATATATGTGAGGGACAGAAAGCAGCAGTGACTAGTGCTTACTTTGGGTGTTATTTTTCAGGTAACTATTCCTGTGTCTTTTCTGTTGTCTTTCCTTTTTAGAATCTTCTTATTCTAGTACTCAGTGCTAGACTAGCTTGTTTGCTAGTCCCAAGTATCCATCTGTCTTGATTATGAGGCTTTTTTGTGGCAAGGAAAGGTAATTTTCCTGGTATTGTTAGTAAATTTGAGGATAAATATGAATTCTTGGTTTTGGAACAGATACCAAACATCCCTGGTGGTTTGGAGGTTTAAGCACGAAGTCTGGATATTCAGGCCTGCAACACCATATAGTAAGTAAAGTCTAAGAGTAACTTAGTAAGAGCGTATATCAAAATGAAAGATAAAAAGCCCTGGAGATGAAGCCCAGTGGTTGACAGCCAGCCAAGTATGTCAAGGAACCCATGGTGCAGGAGAATTATCTGTATTCTGTCAATCATATTTTAATAAAACGCTGATTGGCCAGACAGGCAGTATAGGCAGGAAAGCCAGATAGGAAGTAGGGGTGGAGCAAAGAGACTGCAGGAAGCTTCCTCTGCCACTCCTGCGCAGACCACCGAAGAGGCAGCATGTAACTTGCCCCGCTGGAAAAGGTACCAAGCCATATGGCTAACACAGATCAGAATAATGGGTTAATATAAGTTACAATGGCTAACAAGAAACCTGAGCTAATGGGCCAATCAGTTTATAATCTTATGGAGTCCTGTGTGTGATTTTTATTGGGGCTTGCTGGTTGTGGGGTACTGGGCAGGCCAGTCATGTTACATATGGCACCCAATGTGGATAACTGAATCCACAGAAAGCTTGAATAAGCTAGGTAAAGAATAGAGTAAATCATGTTTTCTTGGTAGCAGCAATTTCTCGGGTCTACTCTGCTTGCTAGAGGCAAGCAAATGCACTCATCTAAGAGAGGCTTCCTGACTCAGCTTTAGCTGAAAAACCTTGTCGCTCTTTTAAGAGGTCCTGCCGCAAAGCACTTAAACGGTGTTGATAAAATGCTGAACTCATGCTTTTCGGTTTTCAGTTGTAGCAGGAAAAAAGCTGCACTGTTTTAAGATGCTGGTTTTCTGGGCTGTCCTGCCTGGGCAATCTCTGACTCTTTCAGGCAGGCAGTCTGACTGAGTGTGGTCTGTGAGCAAAATGCTGCAGCTTGCTTGCTAGCAAGGACCTTGAAATGCCATAGAGTTGCGCCAGTGAACACAGCTCTGACTGGTATCTCAGCCATGAGGCTGGAAATCTAAGAAATGGGCTGGATCTAACTGTCAAAGCTACGGCTTTAGTCCTACCCATTAAAGACTTGTGTGGTCAGAAAAAGAGAGATATACAGTAAAGAGAGATTCAAAGAGGAAAAAAACCTCTACATGGTTTACAGTGTGTTAAAAATATATGCAGGCTAAAAGGTTAAAGTCATTAAAAATAAAACAGAAAGAAAGAGAGATATAGGGTGTGGTGGTACACACCTTTAATCCCAATGCCTGGGAGGCAGAGGCATATTGACCTCTGTGATAGAGATTGACCATTGTGACTTCAAGGTGTGGTAGCACACACCTTTATTCCCAATGCCTGGGAGGCAGAGACAGACAGATCTCTGTGAGTTCAAGGTGTGGTAGCAAACACCTTTAATCCCAGCACTGGAGAGGCAGAGACAGAGGGATCTCTGTGAGTTCAAGGACAGCCTGGTCTACAGAGTTATTCCAGGACAAAGATATACAGAGATCCTGTCTCAAAAAGTAAAAATAGAAGAAATAGAGGTTAAAATAAAGATGGAAAATATGCAGAAAATCTTGATACTGTATGCTATTATGCTCTCTTTGAATTGTTTGAATGCTGAGCAAGCAGTAATAGTTGTTAAAAGACTTTTGTTTATAAATGCTGCTAAACTAACCCAAGATAGGTATTTTGAAAATACCTTGGCTTCAAAACTGAAATCAAAAGGTATATTACTTTGGAGAAGAGACTTTGCTTTTGTTTCCACAGAAAATGAGAGGTTGTGGATTCATTCTGAGTTAAAAAAAAAATCCAGTATGATCAAGGAAGGCCACCTGAGAAATCTCAGACAGGAACAGATGACCCAGATGTCTGAATTCTACATCCAGAACAGATTCAAGACTGCTGCCTAAGATGATCGAGACTCACAGGATACTTTAGTCAGGACTTGATTATAACTCTAAATTTTCTTTAGATCCCCATAAGATTATCATCGCCCCCAATCAGCAGAAAGTAGCCTGAAATGCTACGCCCACATTCCCAACAAATGGACTATGGGTATTTGCCTTTGTTTAAAAAAAAAAAGAGGGAAATGGTGCGGGAGAATTATCTGTATTCTGTCAATCATATTTTAATAAAACGCTGATTGGCCAGACAGGCAGTATAGGCGGGAAAGCCAGACAGGAAGTAGGGGTGGAGCAAAGAGACTGCAGGAAGCTTCCTCTGCCACTCCTGCGCAGACCACCAAAGAGGCAACATGTAACTTGCCCCACTGGAAAAGGTCCCAAGCCATATGGCTAACACAGATCAGAATAATGGGTTAATATAAGTTACAATGGCTAACAAGAAACCTGAGCTAATTGGGCCAATCAGTTTATAATCTTATGGAGTCCTGTGTGTGATTTTCTTTGGGGTTTGCCAGTTGTGGGGTACCAGGCAGGACAGAAACCCCAACAGGCCGGCCCTCATGTTACAAACCCAGATTAGGTTTCTAGGGCTAGAAAATGAATGTGTTAACTGTGTGCATCATTATTCCCAGTGGCGAGCTGTCAAAAACACAAACACTTTCTTGTCTTCCCATGACAGAAATTGTTGAATAATAATTCAACAATTATAGCCCACAAGCTATCTCAGTTTCCCTGGCTGCAATGACCAAATACTTCCAATCTTCTGTGTTAGTTGGCTGTTAGAATCACAGGTCCTTCCATCATTCCAATAGTATCTATCAATGCTAATTCTCAAATCACAAGTAACACATAAATATATCTATATGTTTCTATGTACCTATTTACAAATGTGTCTTACTAGAAGGCAGAGGCCAGACTGATATAGACAAAAAGTGAGATACTCAAGATTTTTAGAAAAGATTTGAATGACAGAGACATGTCGGCTCAGCAGAAAGAGACATGTCAGCTGTACGGTTTGCTACAGAGTCACACTTCCGCCTCAAAGCTGAGCCAAGCCTCACTCCAGTATTGAGGTGTGGGGCAGTATGGGTCTTGCAGATAAACTTGAGAACTTTGTCTAGAGGACAAAAGGGTGGATGAGTAATGTAAGTTCAAGCAGGTCTCGACAGTTATGGATATGGGCCATTTTCTGAGACCATCAGAAATTGTTATTCCTTGATGTCCTAATCTGATGGTCAGATGGTGAGTGGGAACAGCAGCCAGAGAAAGATGTCATTCTTTTGAAGGGGTCAAGTCGAAGGTTGTGCACTATTTTCTCTGTTTGGTGTGTTCCCTGTTTTGAACCTGGTTTTCCTGTTAGTTTAGTACACCATGCTTCCAAATTGCTTTGACAGACAAATCGAGTGGAACCTCTTTTACACTAAATTTTCTGCATTACACATTGGAGTAAGCTAGTTATCAGTCTGTGTCTTGTGGGTATTGACACATAGACTTTTATGTGCCAAGAAGATGACTTTAATTTTCACCTGAAAACTGTGTGGCAAGGGGCAGTCTAAAATTATCCTGGTTTATAAAATATGTGGTGACATTTGCCAGTGCACAGACTCACATATGCACAGATGCATAAACATTTAGTCAGTACGTTATTATATTTAAGTTTGTAATTAATAAAATGTACAGTCATCTTAATCACAATTTTAAAAGGATTCTAATTAATCAGCTATAGATCATTACATGATGACTTATTTGCATTTCTTACTTAAGTGGCGGTATTAATATTCTGCAAAATCCATGAAGAACTGATGACTAATCACAAGACTTTGATGAGTGTGTCAGTTTGAAAGGGACACATTTAAATTTCATCTTCCCAATGAACTTTAATCAGAGCTAATTTCAAATAAATTTTTATTTTATTTTAAAAGTTACTGGTGTGTGTGTTTGTGTGTGTGTGTGTGTGTGTGTGTGTGTGTGAGAGAGAGAGAGAGAGAGAGAGAGAGAGAGAGAGAGAATATATAGAGAATATACGCATGTGAATAGAGGTGCATACAGATCCGGAGTACGATAGCAAATTCCCAGGAGATGGGAGTACTTTGTGACACCTTGATTGGGAACAGAGAACAAAACTGTGGCACCAACACAAGCAATACAAGCTCTTACTGCTGAGCCATTTGCCAGCCTCCAGAGTTTATTTTTGATCCTTGGATAACAAGCAATATATTTTTATCTTTGTCTCTATAATTATTTTCCAGTTTCAAATCATGCTAAAAATAATTGATTGAGTGTCATTGTAATCTAAAGGAAACAATGAGTCAAATGTTCAACAGACCAAACTATCATAATTAAGATTACTTTTTTTATAGGCTAAAGTGCCAGTTCTGCTAAATAAGTGCTTTGAAGTATAATTTGATGCTGAATTACTTGAGTAATGCACCCTTTTAGTACATTTGAATTTTCAATTGATTTTTTTAAAAGAATTTTTTTGCATGTAGGTTAGAGAAAGCTGAAATGAGGTGGATTATTAGTACAAATCGGAAACAGATCTATATCTTATTTTTGAAATTATTATTTTTGATAGAAAAACATAATTGGCCTAACTGAGTATTAATTCATGTAAGTTATCATATGTTCATCATATGAGATGCCTTCAGTAACTCAGTAACAAGTCTGGGAACACATATTGTATTCACAGAATAAGTGTATTGTGGATATTGATAGTATGTTATCATTTTGAGATATTTTAAAGAGATCAAAGTAATCGACACACTAAGTAAAGATTAAGTCAGTGAATTAAGGATATGTAGAGACTGAATATATTTCTATGGTGAATACAACTTAGAAAGTTCAAAGGATGTGTTATGAAAGTGTCTAATTTCTAACAAGTCCACATTTGTGTTAATTTACCAGGAGTTGCATAACCTACAGGAACCCACTTTCCTCTTCTTTTGAGAGAGGGAGATGTTCTAAGATCTCATGAACCTGTATGATCCAAATGACTAGGGATTAGCTATTGTGTATGATGAAAACTACAGTCAACTGGCTAGATGCAATCCTCTTATGTGCCTCCATTATTCTATGTGGCTATTAGTGTCAAGTTGTATTGTTCATATTCTTTATAATTCCTACCACAAAATGAAGTTTTGATCAGCTCAATGAGACAGCAAAATAGTTTTTGAATCGATTGCTTAGATTGTAGAGATAATTGAAAATGTGCTTGCACCCTAAAACTTTATCCAAAGAAAGCTCTTTAAATAATAATTGTCTACACTGAAACAAACAAAAGGATTAAATTTTATTATTCTATATTTACAACATACACATTTCAACTGGAAGTCTATTTAAGAGACATTTTGACATTTGAATTTTGAATATATAAAGCAGTTACCCCTATATGTAAAAGGTGTCAATATTTCCTAAGGTTATCTGCGCTAGACATGCATCTAAAGAATAATTGGCCATGATTAAGCAAAATCAATATTTTTAACTAAACAAATGATACTTTATTTGCAAGCTTGAAAAGTGACTATACACACACACACATTTAATATATATATTTTAAAGTCAGGAAAATGTGAGCTAGAAATCTGCAGTCAGGCAACTCTGGTTTCTGTGTTTTATGAAACATCCTGGCCTAGCACTGGTGTGCTCAGTTATGACAATAAGAATAATTCTACCTGTGAATGTAGTCTCATGATACATTGTTTCTCTCTTCCTTTCGTAGCCAATACTATACAGGATAAATTTATTTTTATTTTTTACTTTTTCTTTAATCTTTAGGTTTACACCACCATGTTTCTTCAGAAAAGTAGTCATAAGATAATTATTATTTGAATAATATTGAATACTTTTAATTGCATTGGAATTTGCTTTATAAACTTGGCTTTATTTTTTTCAATAAGATATTCATATTTCTCTGAAGTACAGAATGCAATTTGTTTTAACTTGAAAGCTGTTAAACCCCTCCTTGTTTCCTACTAGTTTATCTAATAAACGAGGTAAATATTTTCATATTCTTGGAGAAAATTTGCCTTTATATATTGTCTTAAGATCATAATTGCCTTTAAAAACACCTGCTAGTATTACTGTAATCACTTTTTAAATTTAAACAAATGTTTAACACAGGTTTATAAAATCATAACTTATAAATACTCTCCTAAATTCAATTTATAGACATCTGCTTACTTATTGATGATGAGCTTTCCTACTTCAACATTTTTTGATATTTAGTTATTTTTATTTTATTTTCTGTTTGCATCTGTGTTTGTATGCATGTATGTATATGTACCTACTGTGGGTGGCCTGGTGCCTGCTGAAATCAAAAGGCATGAGATCACCTGAACTTGGCGTTTCACGTTTTGAGCCTCCGTGTGGATGCAGAGTAGTAAACCCATGTTCTACAAAAGCACTCTTAACCGCTGTCCAGTCTCTCAAAACTTCTATGTTTTGATTTATTTATAACTCTGTTTTATTCTATTAATTCTACTACAACATTGTGTCATATGCTAAATAGTCCATAAGGAAAAAAAAAACTTTTTTCTTACAGTTACTCTAGAGACTAGAAATTCCAAAATTGAGGTCCTGTGGGACCTAGTGAAGAGCTAGTGAAAGCTAATGAAGAGCTAGTCTTTAATTCCTTAATGATTTGCTGTTTTATTCTGGAATAGAAAACATTCAATGTCCTCATACAGAGAAAGAGTTGAAATAACCTCTCCCTGATTCATCACACAGGAGGCATTTAATGTCTGCTATCACTGCCAATCAGAAGAATATGGCTGTGATTACCACAGGTCTTGGATGGGCACTGAATACTGTTGTTTGGCTTAACTGACATAATACCAAACTGCCTTTTAAGTATTTATATTTTTGCCTCTTGAAAAATGATTACTGGTAGCCTTGATCCGAGACTTTTCTCTTAGTAGTGAATAAAGGTGAGTGCAGAGACTCATGACTGTCAAGAATACTCATGAGAGTGGAGCGCTAACCCATAAAATGGACATTTATAACATCCCTTCTGATGTCCGGGGGACATCACCAAAGAGGGGTGATTATGTAGGTAATAGAGGGCCAGAATTGAGAAACATCCTTGGCATGAAACAACCATTGCAACCATGAATACAAAGCAGTTGGGTTTGCCTCTACTGAGACTGGTTGAGATTGTACCTGTTTCCAGCTAGTCTTTAATTATAGGGAAGGGCAATGTTCATGAGGTTCTATTCTTCCCTGTTGAACTACTAGCAACTTATGGATGCTAGTTAAGAAGAATGTGTGCTTGTTACCACAAGCTACAACTGAGTGATCAAGGGAATAATTCATTATTCATGTTGCCAAGGCCTTTGTAATGAACAAAGATACTTTTGCATAAGGAACTATCATATTTACTTTGATAAGTCAGAATCCAACTCACATGTTGAACTGATTTTAACAGAAAACATTTTAATAATCAGTTACACACATTTTCAGTTTGAGACACAAGCCCCATGTATGCAAACAGTGAATAGTGCCCCCTTCTAAAGACCTCACAGGCTGTCCTCTTGATTCTAAAGCAAGGGTAATCAAACATAAATTTTGTTTCATATAAATTTTATACAGTAAAAAGACAGAGTGTTAACACACAGAGACTGATGGACTTGAGAGAAGATGAGAGAAAGAGAAAGAAAGAGAGAGAGAGAGAGAGAGAGAGAGAGAGAGAGAGAGAGAAATAGACAGAGACACAAAGAAGGCTGATTTCTACTTTGCCCTTTGGCTAGGATATGCATACCAATTACATGTATTTTTCTTATTTATAAGACAAAATTTTACTTTCTGAAGTTTCTCATATAAGACCCCAGATTGAATACCCAATTTGAAGTGTGACTTTGTCATTTTCAACTAGACCCTGATTGATAAATTGTAAAATGTATGTTTCTCTAAAGATTAAGCTCCCTTAGTTTATCCATATGATATAATCCTTTCTTTATGTGAACACAGACGTTTAAACATTTTGGCACAAGATTTGTGATGAAATAAAAGCCATTTTAATGTTATCAGAGTTTGCAAAAGGCTATATTACTTCTGTGGACATTATTTCTAGTTTTACTATGTGCATAGAGGGATTTTCTCTCATTCTCTTATTGTTTTTGTATCTCTACAACCCTTTCTTATCCAGCTATAAACTTCAATCACGGTCAGTCCAGCTCTTTTCTCTTCACAGGGGAAGAGAACTCACCTTTGGAAAATCAGCCTCTTTTAATCTCTGGGTTTATTGTGGAATTGCAATTGGTAAGGCCTATGAACTTTTGTTAGTTGCTGCTTTATACACTCCAAATACATACTGGAAAAAGTCTCTATGGTATTTTTCTATTAGACCCATTACCCCTTTATTTCTTGACCATGCCTATCATTGGTAAAACAGCTCAATAACTACGTCTCCTGTGAATTGAGCGGTGGTATGACAACCCAGAACTCTCTCTCTCCTTTCCTTACCATAATAAACATTTCCTTTAATTCTCAAGTTTTGCATGCAGGAGTTGTTGGAGGACTTCGAGATGATGAGTTTTAAAACCTGAAAACAAAAGAAAGCATATTTTCAGGATTACTGAACTTAAATGTCTTTATTCCTTTCTGGGAAAGCTTATATTTATTATTGTAATTATATGGATAAGATTTTTCAATTCTGGGTTTCAGTATTAAAGCATTTATCATTTCTCTCGCATTAAATTAGACTTATCAGTAGAAAGTAATCATGCAGTCTATTTTCTCCCTATTGTCTCACTTCACAGTGGACCTAGTTAGAGACATTGGAACCCAGGGCTTTCCAGTTCTGACTCATATTGACCTTATTCTTTGCACAATTCTGAAGATTGTTTGGCTTTCTCTCTAATAGCAATGTTTCTGCTTTTCTATTTTTCCCTTCACAAGAGACTCAACATTTACTAATCTTCTACAAAGTCTAACCAATTTCTTTCTGTTATACTTCTGAGCAGATGAAATATCCCTTCCCGTGGCTCTCTATTGTTTTCTGAATTAATTCTCTTAATTTAAGAATTTGATCATTAAAATGCAGTTTCCTGGGAGCAAAAAACTTCTCTAAGCCCCATCCTCACATGACTTCCCACTTAATTTACAAGTAGAGGGGAATGCTTTTCCGTTATGTTACCTGTATGACGCAAATTAAACTTCTGCTTCTTTTTCATAGAAATGAATTTCTCCCTGTGACTACTTCATCTTCTCATCTCTCATTACTGATTTTTAGAAAAAGATTTGGTGTATATTGTTGGCAGTTTATTTCCATTCCTATTTTAATTACGCCATCTTTAAATCTCAAATCTGTCTCATCTAATTTTTCATGTCTAGTCATTCATTTCCATTCGATTTCCCTGCCTCGGCGATCAAGCTACTGCTCTATGACTGAACTGTTAAAAACCCTTCAAACTGTGTGGCTTTGGTAAAGATTCAGAAATGAAATCAACAATTTTTCCTTGTATATTTAATGATATTTTTTCATAAAAATGTTTCTTATACTGTTCATTTCCAGTTTCTAGTAACATAATTTGTGATTGTTCATTGAATTATTTCATCATATGTCAAGTTTTGACACATTAACTTGGGATTTAGGTTCTTTTGATAGCCACCATATACCAGACAGTATGAAGTTTAGGGTAAAGTAACCTCTAGTTGCTTTGTTTTGATTTGCTTGATTAATGAATGAATCTTCTCATGAATAAAGACTACTTGGTTGTCACAACAAACTTATTTTATGCAAGCTTTATATGATGTGAAAGACTGAAGAAGCAGCACTCACCAGAATAGGAAAACTTGCATAGTGTTATAGCACTTCATGAACAAATGGGCAGTTGGTAAGAAAAATGGGAGGGAGATATGACACAATGGCAAAGGAAGAGGAGGGGCTCAGAAAAACCTTCAACCAGATGCTTTCTGCACTGGCTAAAGAGATAGGGATGCTCTTATTGTGGGTATGAGCAGGGGACCTCTCATGTGAAAATCTTCAACCTTTTTCAGAATGAACAGCCTGCCCTTTCTACTTTTCTGGTATGCTGAAGTGTCATTAAGTCCAAGTCTATGGAACCTTGGCCCTACACCTGCGTAGAAACATAAAAAAACATTACAAAACAATATAAAGGAAGAAAAAGAGGTGTTAACTAGATCCTTGTTTCCTTTTCTGTGCTCTTTTTATTTTTTAATTCCGTTTATTTTATTTATGTTTCTAAAAAAAAAAACTATCGTTTTTCGTTTTATCTACTAATCCCAGTTTCAACTCCCTACCCTCCTATTCTCTCCACTTACCTCTCCACCCCACCTCCCATTCACTTCTCAGAGAGGGTAAGACAGGTTACTTTGTGGAAGTTCCAAGGCCCTCCTTACTTTATCTACTGAGAAAGGTATCTATCCAAAGAGAATAGGTTCCCAAAATGTCAGTACAAGCAGCATGGATAAATCCTGGTGTCACTGCCATTAACAAGGTGAACCCTAAGAAAAACATATAGATCAACCTAGAAAGGGGAAATAGACAAGATAGCCTGACAAAATTGGGGGTTGCCTGGAGGAAGGAGGGCTAAAGGTGCAGAAGAGAGAAAAAGGGGAGGGGAAGGAGAACTTGAGGGAACTGGATAGTTGAGATGGAGGAAGGACAGAGATGAGAGAAAGGAAAGAGATATTTTGATTGAGGAAGCCATTATGGGGCTAAAAAGAAACCTGACACTAGAGAAATTCCTAGGAATCCACAAGCTAAGACCCTAAGCAATAGAGGAGAAAGTACCTGAACTGGTCTTGTCCTGTAGTCAGATTGATGGTATCTTAAACGCCACAATAGAATGTCCTCCAGCAACTGATGGAAGCAGAGGCAGAGACCAGCACTGGGCTGAGCTCCCAAAATCCAGATGAAGAGTGGGGGGAGTCAGAATATGAGCAAAGAGGCCAAGACAATGATGAGGACACCCACTGAAACAGTTTACCTGAGCTAACCAACTCCCTCCAGACAGGGAAGGAACCTGCATAGGTCCAAATGACTCCCTCTGAATGTGGGTGGCAGCTGTATGGTGAGGTAGATATCTTTGTTTTCTAATTAAAGTATTCATCGTCTTTCTCCCCTTCCTTTTTTCTGCAATGCCATTTTTTAGGAGAAAATAAATTGATTCCAAATTCCAGTTATTTTTATTAAATTCCTAAAGTATTAATCCTTATTTACAGAAATCTGATTGCAAAAAGTATTCTTAGAAGTGCTTTTTTAAAAATAAATGTAACAATAGAATCAAAGGTTTTCTGCAAAATTAATTTAAATTTGTTTTTCAAGTTTCTTTTGAAATTAATGAGGGAAAAGCTCGTGTAATTTGAATATTGAAATCCCTCATGACTTTTTTAAATAAGGCCATTTGATTCAACAGGACTTCAAAGACAAGTGGGTAAAGATGCAAATTAATTTAATAGATAAGCCACCCCAGGGCTGATTAGGAAGCACTTGCTGATTCCTTAGCTGATTGTAGGATACAACCAATAATCAGGGGTTAACTTGAAACACAAAGACAACAGGTTTATTTTACAAGACTCTTGAGAACAAAAAAGGGCTGTAAATGGCCATATTTATCTTGATAGCCATTTGGAATGGGTGCATTAATAATTAAACCTTTGTTTTCTAAATATACAGACATAATAGCAGTGCCAAGGCACTGGTAATCAAATATGCATCCTAGAAATTGCTGTGATGCTTCTGATGAGCTTTTCCCATTTCAGCCATCATAAGGCTAAGGCAAGCATGTGATTCTGTGGCATTTAATTGCCTTTTACAAAAGGTAATCATTATCTATTATTCTGCAAGAATTTAGGACTTAATTTCATAGTTAAAAATTTTCTTGAAAACTGGGGACTTGATATGTTTAAGGATATGTGCAAAATGTATGCACATATTAAATTTAATAAATATTTATAAATTTAAACATTTACTCTCAAGTACTTACAATATAAATCAATTAATTATTTACTTAATATTTAAAATTTAACAGCACTGTAATTTTAATTATTATGAGTTATTGTGAGTGTTATGTTGGCATATTAATTTTATTGTGTGCTAGTCTTTATATTAATTATGAAGCAACTTGTAAAGGGAGAAAGTCTTTTAGTATTGTAAAGTCAGTCTCCTAAATCTTCCTTCAAAGTGTTTCAAATTGCTGTGAAATTGCTTCTTACCTTTTAGTAATATGTCAAGAGCATATTCAAAGCAATTTGTGAATGTGTGGCTTTAAGATTTCATGATGCTTCATAAGGTTTTTAATCTTTCTTCCTTCGCTGATTGGGGTGACTAATTTCTCTCAAGTTTCCACATTAATATTGGTTAATTATGCAATCGTAAAAATTATTTTGATTATTTTATGTTTGAGATGGAAATAAAACAGCTCTTGAGTGCATTTTGAGCAATAACAAAAAAATGAATAAAGGAAATTTGACATTGAAACACTCACTCCCTGTTTCTGTCCTGTCCCCATTTCTACCACTTTCACTTAATTTCTCTCCTGTGGGGGGCAGCATAACTAACCATCTTTCTCACCCAATGCTACATTGACATGTATTTTCTTTCAGCTAAATAGCCTAAAACTAACTTGTTTTTAAATATTTAAGCACAATACAAAAGTTTTTATAACATCTGATAATCTCCTGTGATTTCCTCCTTTATCTTCTTTTGTCTCTAATGCTAGAGCTCAAAATTATCATGAAGCAGAACAGAGTTTCTCCCGTTGTGTCAAGGCTGGATGAGGTAATCCTATATGGGGACCAGGTTCCCAAAAGCCAGTTAAGCCCCAAGGGTAGATCCTGATCTCACTGCTAATACCCTTACAAAAAGACCAAGCTACTGCCTCAACTTGATGTGTCATGCCTTATTCAAGCCAGTAGATGACCTGCCCCTTTCTCAATCGAGAGAGGGAAGAAGTGGAAGGGGAAAATGGTAGATGAAGGGTGGGAAGGGGAGGGGAATGGAAAGAGATGAAGGAGGAAAAACTGCAGTCAGAATGTAAAATAAATGAAAAAATGTTATTTACATAAAATAAAAATGTATCATGAACTGGATTAACAATTCCTTGACACATTTTTCCCATGTATCATCTATTTCCTTAAGGTATACATTATTCAATTTGGCATAGTTTTGATAAATGTAAGGATCTGTTGAATATTTTTCTGTTTGTCGCTTTTTACACTTAATCATTGTTCTGCATGGCAGCTTGTTCAGGTAATGTAAGTAC